AGCAAATTTTTACATATGTAACAACACTGATGAACCTGGAAGACATGCTAGGTGAAATAAACCAGTGATAAAAAGACAAATACTGAGTGATTCCACTTACATGAGATATTTAGAGAAATTCAACTCATAGGAGGAAAAAGAATGGTGCTGCCAGGGGCTGGAGGAAGGGGTGAATGGGGAGTTAATGTTTAATGAGTATAGTTTCAGTTTTGCAAGATGAAAAGAGTTCTGGAGATGGTTGCACAATAATGTACCTACTTAATACCACTGGACTATACACTTAAAAATAGCTAAAATTGTAAATTTACAATTTTGTGCTATGTGTTTTTTACCACAATAAAAACAATTGTTGAATTAAAAAAGAACCTCATGGAGAAAAAGGGTTAGGAAGGAACATGAATGGAGAACTCTTTCCTTCACTCATTCATTCACTGAACACCTAACTACTGATTGCCAGGTATGTAGCAGGTACTATGCTAGGTAATGAGATACTACCTTGAGCAAGGCAGACAAACAGACATGGTATCTGTCCTAAAGCCTGTAGTTTAGTCAACCTACCAAAAAAGGTTCTCATAATTTGTAAGAAAATTGTAAAAAAAAAGAGAGAGATTACCTAAAAGAAAATTATACCCCATACAGATGATTTCAAAAGGGGAAATTGTGTGTGTGTGCATTTATAATTTATAATACATAATATATTTATATACAATTATATATATTTGTAAGATTTTATTTATATGAAATTATTATATGTATAATTTTCCATCATCTTACCCAGGAACCAAAAATTAGAGATGCCTCTAATCTCGCCACCCCAGTGAAGGGTTCTTAAGGAAGCTTCACACAGCCTCATGTTCTCCAGGGAACCCAGCACAAAGTTGGAAGGCCACTGCTTAAGCATAAAGCCATGATAACTGTTTAAAGAAAAAAGCTCCTAGGGGTCCCTGGGTGGCTCAGTCAGTTAAGTGTCTGACTCTTGATCTCAGCTTAGGTCTTGATTCAGGGTTGTGAGTTCAAGCCCCACGTTGGGCTCCAGTGGAGCCCACTTAATAAAAAGATAAAAGAAAAAAGCTCTTAAAAGAAGATAAAAATGTTGACTTTTGTTATTATATATGTTAACTGTATAAGCGAATATGAGACTAGATTGTGGTTATGGATTAAAGAAAGAGAACATAAGGCTACCAGGTCTTGGTGGCATGGTGGTGGGCAGAGGACCCACACCATGTGTGGAAAGACCACAAATAGGAGACTGCCCATATGCCTTTTATTTCCCTCTCTATTCATTTTGGTCTCTCATTTTTTTTTTTTTTTAAGTAGGCTCCATGTCCAATATGGGGCTCAAACTCACGACCCTGAGATCAAGAGTCACATGCTCTACCAACTAAGCCAGCCAGGCGCCCCTTGGCCTCTCATTTTTGACAGCTGAATTAGAAGATCTATTTTAGTCCATCTAAGGACATTACATTAAAGGACAGCTGCAATGTTTTCAATTAAGCAACAGAACATGAATGTTCTATTCCTAGACTTCTTTTTTTTTTTTTAACTTTTTTACTTGGATAAATTTACTTTAAAAGACATCTTTCTTTAAATATTTTTAAATTCAATTAATTAACATATAATGTATTATTGGTTTCAGAGGTAGAAGTCAGTGATTCATCAGTCTTATATAATACCCAGTGCTCATTACATCACATGGCCTCCTTAATGTCCATCACCCAGTTAGTTACTCCATCCCCCCACGCCCCTCGTCTCCAGCAACCCTCAGTTTGTTTCCTATTCCTAGATTTCTGATCAGGTTAATTTTTTACAAGAGAATAAACTTTCATTTCAATATGAATTGATTATGGCGCCTGGTATAAACATGGCATTGCGTTAGGCCTTAGGGAGAATACAAAGATGAGTAAGACACATGCTTGTCCTGAAGAAGCTTATAGCATATAATGGTAAATAAGAATAATATGCCAATGACTATAGTGAAAAGGAGAGTATCTGTGCTAATCTTGAGGGTACGAACTCTATCTTACTCATGCTCGCTTTTCTAATGCCTGGCACAGAACAGGCATGCAGTAAATATTTGTTGAATTGTTAAAGAGAAGGTGCTATGAGAGATGCCATAGAACTGCATTGTCCAATAGGTAGCCACTGGCCACATGGTGCTATTTAAATTTAAATTGATTAAATGGAATAAAATTTAAATTTCACTTCCTTAGTCACTGGCCACATTCAGTGTGGCTAGTGGCTACTTTATTGAACAGCACAGATTAAAGAACATTGAAGAAGGTTCTGCCATAACAGATGAGAAAGAGGAAGTTTCCAAAGTTCCCCGTGGAGGATGACAGGAAAGGTGGAAGAACAGCATTTGAGCTGAGCCTTGAAGAATGAGTGGGTAGGATTTTAACAGGAAAAAATGGAAGGAGTAGCATAGAGATGGTGAACAGTAGGGGAAAATGAGGAAGGGCTGGAAAGGGCAGGGTGTTTGAGTCATCCCACGTGCCTGGAGCTTTTAGAGGAAAAAGGTGAAAACAATGAAGTGTGGGGTTGAGTTGGTTAGGCCTAGCTTCATTCTCTTTCTCTACATCTTTCTTTTGCTCCACAGCCAAAGCCACCTGCATCAGGCCCATTTTAAGATGAGAGACACTTAAATGGCCTGCAGACCAACACTCTGGTATTCAACATCAACACCTTTCTTCCTAGTCTAACCTGTAGGAGGTACCTCAGTTCTCCTACCTAGCCATCTGCTTTAAATCCAGTCTCATGATAGTGTCCGGTTTATCTAAGTGGACTTCTCTGGGCCCTGTGCTATGTCCCTTGCCAGTCCTCTCTCAGCTGCTAGGTTTACTCTTGACAACCTTTTTATCCTTGTTACCTCCCCAACCCAACATTCCATGAGACCCTGTTGCCAAACTCTAAACAATCAGATCTTCATGGTGCCAAATGTTTGTGCAGACATTTGGGTGTAATCCACCCACATGCTGGAATGCCCTGATGTTTCATTTTGCACACTATGTAGAGATCACTCTCACCCTTGAGCACTGGGCCTTCCCTGGGAGCATCTACAGCTGGGTTAGTTCGCCCAGTGCCTGCCCTATGTAGATAGATGTTGGCCCCTTCCTGAAAACCCACCTTGCTAAAATAAAGGCCATGCCTGTCCAAACTTGCAGTCTGTGACAGTGGTCATTAGTGAGGAGCCTTAAATGCCAAACAAAGTATTTGTACTTAGTAGGGAGGGCCACCAGAGGTTTTTGAGCCAGCGAGGTCAACACAGTGATAGATTAAACTGATGCCATGTGTGGGATGGACTGGAGAGGAATATTTGGGTGGGATATACCAATTTCCTTAGCCTTTCCACATGAACTCCATTTCCATGTTCATAATCATCTTGGGTGTCATTTCGATGCCTGGCCCTATATTCTCCACAGTCCTCTGAAGTTTCGGAGTCAAAACCTGAATGTTCTATTCCTAACACGGTGTAGGCAGTATAAGCCTTTAGACTGTAGCACAACATCGTCGTTTACTGTTTCAGTGTTACGGGACATTTGACATACTATTCTACATAGCTAATATGCCCTCTAATTAGGGTGATCAACCATCCCAGTGTGCTTGAGATGGTCCTAGGTTTTGTACAGAAAGTCCCATATCCTGCGAACTTCCTCAGGCCTAGGCAAACTGGGAACGTTGGTCACCCAAGTCTGGGCAAACCCACATGGTTGGTCATCCTACATGTGAAGCACGTAGAATCTAAGAAATGGCCAGGACTGTCTTGTATGTTTGGGGAAGCTGTGCACTTTACAGCTGCTCAATAAAAGGTTGCCAACTATGAGACCACTGGCCAGAATTCGGATACAACATATAGCAGTCAACATGAGCTCCACCCAAGGCAGGGCTCACCCCCTCACTTAGGCCTCATTAGCACCACACCAGTACTCACTGGGGCTTCTGAATCCCTTCACCTGAAACTGAAAATGAAGATAAGTAAGTCTTGTAGAGTAAGTCTGTAACTTGCTGAGTGAGCGCTAGGCTGCTTTGACTCCCTAAGAGTCACCTTTTTTAAAAATAATAGTCCAAGGGGCGCCTGGGTGGCTCAGTTGGTTAAGTGACTGCCTTCGGCTCAGGTCATGATCCTGGAGTCCCAGGATCGAGTCCCGCGTCGGGCTCCCTGCTCGGTGGGGAGTCTGCTTCTCCCTCTGGCCCTCCCCTCTCTCATGCTCTATCTCATTCTCTCTCTCAAATAAATAAATAAAATCTTTAAAAAAAAAAAAATAGTCCTACACTCAAAAGTAATCTTTTTTCATTATATTTTTATTGTATACTTATTGTAAGTTTTAAGGTAAAACTTCCTTGAAATCTGCTTTTCCATCTCACTGTCTGTACTCATACATCTTGCATGCCAGAAGCTTCCCCTCTAATTATCTTTGACTCACCAACCCAACCCAGGTAAGGTATTGTCTTTTTGCTGCCACTGTCCTCTTTCCCCATCTCCCCTGCAACACACACACACATTATGGATTATGTTACATTTCAAGTACTGAGTCATGATTGCATTAAATTTAGTCAACATTTTAAAATACAGCCTCCATCAGGGCACCTGGGTGGCTCAGTCAGTTGAGAGTCTGCCTCTTGATTTCGACTTGGGGCTCTACGCTCAGTGGGGAGTCTGCTGGAGGATTCTCTCTCTCCCTCTCCCTCTGCGCTCCTCCCTACCCCCACATGCGCTCTCTCTCTTTCCCTCTAAAATAAAATAAAATACAGCTCTGAATACAAGACATTTATTTGTATTTTACTTTGTGCTTGATTATACTGCATTTGATAAACAGGTGGAACAAGTTTCAAAGATTAAAAATAAAACAAAACACCTACTTTCCAGAAAAGCCGTTTCAGAATGAAGTTTTTCTGGGCTGCTACTTTAAGTTCCGTAATTAAGCAAAATATCTTCCTCAAAGTATTGTCTTTAAGAAAAAGTTCAGATTTAAGTTGACTGAAGTGCTTAATTTTCTCCTCAGATCTGCAGAAACACAAGAAAAAAATTTCCATGTGAAAAATGGTAAACAGCAGTTGAGGAATATCAACGATTATTGACAGGTTTGTAAAACTTTGTTACTAATGGAATTTTAACATAGTTTTGTGCTTCTAGCTTTATTACTCATTAGTAATGAACCTTGCTTTCCCCAGATTGAACTTTTTATTACTCTCCAGACATACTTTTCCCCATGCCCCTTTACTCAAGTGGTATCCAGCACATCAGGAATACTCTCAGTGTCCCTCAGAAACTGTTGTCCCTCTTTCATTCCCTAGCCCACGGTTTGTCCACATACCATTTACCATACTGAATGAACCATACGTAATATTATTTGCTTCATATTTTTTCTTTAAATCAACTCACTTTGTGTGTGTGTGTAGAGAAGTTTATTTATGTAAGATTTTATTTATTTGAGAGAGGGAACAAGCACATGCACACACACATGGGAGCAGAGGGAGGGACAGAGAGAGGGAGAGAATCTCAAGGAGACTCCACGCTGAGCACAGAGCCCAACCAGGGGCTTGATCTCATGACCTTGAGATCATGACTGGAGCTGAAACCAAGAGTCGGACACCTAAGCAACTGAGCCACCCAGGCGCCCCAAGAAGTTTATTTATAAAGAAAACTTTGTATCACTACTTTACAGGGAGAACCAGTATCATGTGCCATAAATAGCAGGTAACTGTAAAAATAGCATGAAAGCATCACAAGTTCTAAGTTGATGCACCACATTCCAAGCCTAAGGCCTCCCTCTCTTTGACAGAAAGGCAGATGAGCACGTGTTAGAGAGCTGCCATTTTTGGCACCAAGCTGAGAGGTTCTCCCTAATGACATTGGACTAGTTGGAAAAGGAATCACTTTTCCACTATGGAATTCGAAGTTATTTCCTGCCATGTCAGAGTACCAAATGCCTTCATCTCTTGTCACTGACCCATGTGTGTTCCACAGTTCAGGAAAAGCTGGCTTTGCTGAAAAGAGGAACACCTTCCCCTTAAACCTTCCCCTAGTTCCACCATGAATGGGGAACCTCTCCCATAGCACTTTTTCCACACTTATATATCACACTAATCCTATTTTGCCCTGTTGTCGTGATTTGTGTACCTGTCCTGGGCACTTTTCATGGACTAGCTCATTCAGTCCCACTAAGAGGGCAGAACTGGGAATTACTGTTGCATTTATAGGATGATAGAGAGGTTAAGTGACCTGTCCAAGTTCATACTGGCTGGCTCAGTCAGTAGAGTGTGTGACTCTTGATCTCAGGGTCATGAGTTCAAGCCCCACGTTGGGAGCTTACTGGAGCTTACTTTAAAGTAAGTGGAGGGGCACCTGGGTGGCTCAGTTGGTTAAGAGACTGCCTTCAGCTCAGGTCATGATCCTGGAGTCCCGGGATCGAGTCCCACATCCAGTGCCCTGCTCAGTGGGGAGTCTGCTTCTTCCTCTGACCCTCCCCCCTCTCATGCTCTCTCTCTGTCTCATTCTTTCTCTCTCAAATGAATAAATAAAATCTTTAAAAAAAAAAGAAAAAGAAAGAAAAGAAGGGTGCAAAGTAATGTTAGGAGAGGCATTTCATGTTCTGTGTAGGTTGATGGAAACTTCCTAGAATTTCTGACTTGAATTAAAAATATTTTTAATATTTAAAATAAAAAGGGGGGGCGCCTGGGTGGCTCAGTCATTAAGCATCTGCCTTCAGCTCAGGTCATGATCCCAGTGTCCTGGGATCGAGCCCTGCATCAGGCTCCCTGCTCCGCGGGAAGCCTGCTTCTCCCTCTCCCACTCCCCCTGCTTGTGTTCCCTCTCTCGCTGTCTCTCTCTCTGTCAAAATATATATATATATATTTTTACCACCTACTCCATAAATCTTGATACCAACCATTTATCCCAATACTACTACATGGAATCTTGGCTCTTGCCCACTACCTCCCCCATTTTTTTTTTTTTAAATCTGCGATCTTCTCTATCCAGTCAATGAGGCTCTTTTATTTTTTTAAAAAAGATTTTATTTATTTATTTGTCAGAGAAAGAGAGAGCACAAGCAGCGGGAGCGTCAGGCAGAGAGAGAAGCAGGCTCCCCACTGACCAAGGAGCCTGACATGGGACTCAATCCAAGGACCCTGGGGTCATGACCTGAGCCGAAGGCAGACGCTTAACTGACTGAGCCACCCAGGTATCCCAATGAGCCGCCCTTATTAACTTCCCCAAAAAACAGTCTCTTTTCTAGTGGAGACTTCCCCAAAAAACAGTTCTTTTCTAGTGGAGACCCTGAAAGAGAAATGATCATCAAGAATTCAGTGATAGAGACGCCTCGCCCTGCTTATGCTCTCTCTTTCTGACAAATAAATAAATAAAATATTTAAAAAAACAAGAATTCAGTGATAGAAGTCACAGAGGCAGGGGGTGCCTGGGTGGCTCAGTTGTTTTTTGTTGTGTTTTTTTTTTTTTAAGATTTATTTATTTATTTATTTATTTGACAGAGAGAGACACGGCAAGAGAGGGAACACAATCAGGGGGAGTGGGAGAGAGAGAAGCAGGCTTCGCGCCAAGCAGGGAGCCTGATGCGGGGCTCGATTCCAGGACCCTGGGATCATGACCTGAGCCAAAGGCAGACACTTAACGACTGAGTGGGTGGTTCAGTTGGTTTATCATCTACCTTCAGCTCAGGTCATGATCCCAGGGTCCTGAGATCGGCCCCCACATCGGGCTCCCTGCTGAAGCGGGAGCCTGCTTCTCCCCCTCTCTCTCTCTGCCCCTCCCCCAACTCATGTGTGCTCTCTTTCTCAAATAAATAAACAAAATCTTAAAAAAAAAAAAGTCACAGAGGCAGAAGAACACGATTATAAACACGGGGGTCAGACAGGCTGATCAGAGTTCTAGATCTCCCTCTATTCAGCTGAGTAATTACCATGGGCAAGTTACCTAGTCTCTCTGTGCCTCAATTTCCTCATCTGTAAAATGGAGAGGATTATAGTACCTATCCCATTGTTTTGATACTTTAGTCTGTAAGTATTTAATAAATGGTATAAAATAGGAATGAGCTTTGAGATCCCACTTCCCTATACATCCACTTCTAATTACAATTACATTGCATTTAAAAACTATAAAATTCCTCTATTCTCTGAGAACTGCAAAAATAGCAGGAATGTAGTTTTCACAAACTGATGAGCTTAGAAAAGCACAAGTTTGGAAAGAATACCAGCAGAATTACTTTCAAATTGACTTTCCTATTTTTCCCATTAGTCAGCAATTTGCTGCAATCCATATAGAAACAGTTTTTATCTTGTGGAACCTATGATAACAGACTGTAATACCAAACTTTTCTTTCAAAAAAACCAAAACAGGGGTGTCTGAGTGGCTCAGTCGGTTAAGCGTCTGACTTCGGTTAGGTCAAGTCTCAGGGTCCAGGGATGGAGCCTTGTGGTGGGCTCTGTGCTCAGCGGAGTCTGCTTGTCTCTCTGCCTCTCTTCTTGCTCTCTGTCTCTCTCTCAAGTAAATAAAAAAAATCTTTTAATAAATAAATAACCAAATTTCGTAAGAAAAAGCACACTAATCTCCTTATACTAAAAATCAATTCATAGGGCGCCTGGGTGGCTCAGTTGGTTAAGCAACTGCCTTCGGCTCAGGTCATGATCCTGGAGTCCCGGGATTGAGTCCCGCATCGGGCTCCCTACTCAGCAGGGAGTCTGCTTCTCCCTCTGACCCTCCCCCCTCTCATGTGCTCTCTCTCTCAATCTCTCTCTCAAATAAATAAATAAAATCTTAAAAAATAAAATAAGTAAATAAAAATAAATTCATATATGAATTGAGGTCTCATATACATCATAAATATAAGATTCAGGAGTCTATATTTCTATATAGTTGCAGTTTCTTTGACCATTCAGAGAATATTTGTCTTTACATAGATGATAAACTTTGACTAATTTAAATAATAAAAAGTCTACTGCCAGAAGACTCCATTATTCAATTTCAGAATAAGGGTAAATTTTTCATTAATTTTAACAGATATTTTATATTTTCATCAGCTAGAAAACATAAATTCACCCAAAAGGTGTGGCAAGAAGGATTCTTGATCTAATGATGAGCTCTGCTTTTCCTGTGTTTTTCATTTTTCTGGATTTCCTGTATTTTTTCATTTTCAGGATATTTTATATAAATAATACATTTGTATAATGCTTTAAAGCTAGAAAAGGCTTATCATAGATTATCTCAAAAGCACTGTGTATATATTCACAGTGGTCCCTATGCATCCGTGTGAGGTTACAGAGCTCACATTTGTGACAGAGTTCTAATTTGAAAACCCAAAGAGTATTTACTCCCTTTAAACTGACGGTACCTTGCAGGCAGAGAACTGTCTTGTATATCTTATACATATTACTACATTCCTCACAGTGCATTTTAAATTACTGCATTTTAAATATGTTGCCTTCAGGAATTAACTTTGCAAGAAATATGCTTTTCCTGAGTCAAGATAGTGGTAGAACTCTCCTTCTGACTTTCAAGGACAAATTTCAAGTCACACATATACAAAGTTAAAGCCTATTTTATTATCCAATTAGTTTTAAAATCACTTTAAATAAGCACTAAAATTAAAACTGATACTTTTGTAAAGTAAACATATGAAAATATATGGAAATTCTATTTTTAAAACATGTAGAAATTCTAAGCTATCTGTATTACCATCTTTTAAAAAAAGAAATCACAAACATTGTTATTTAACCCCTACATACCTCAGAACATATCTCAAAATAAAACAAACATTTTCTTACAAAATAATCATTATCACATCCAACAAAATTATCAATAATTCTTTGGTATTGGCTAATACCCAGTCCATACTCAAATGTCCTCTATTGTCTTAAAAATGTCTTTTTACTTCTGGTTTGTTAAAATCAAGATATAAATCAGATACTTGTTATATTTGCTTATTATGTTTCTTAAGCCTTTTACAAACTTTTATTATGGAAATTTTTAAACATACACAAAAATGGAGAAAATTGAAAAGAAACAGCATATATCTATCACCTAGATCCAATAATCTTTAACATTTTTCCAATCTTGTTTTATCTAT